GACAAAAATATACTTCCATAAAAATATACAAAAATACAAATGTGTTTTGTACTTCCAACTGTGTGTATGTGCATAGTTATATATGTGAATGACAAGGTTTTAAATGGCATGAGGCGTGGCGTGGAGGCGAGGTCAAGCCTCAGGCCTTGCATGCCACGGCCAGGACGTGACGTTTTTCAATGCGTGATATAATGCTGCAAATTTGTATGCCATATATATAATTATACGTATACATATATGTTTTCTATTTATTATTCAATAAGATAACGATATTAAAAAAATTACATTCATATTAGATGAAGAAAAATCATAAATGTTAATTCTATACAAAGAGTTTGTGATCAAAAATTTAAAATAGAACGTGGAAGGGTCTTACAACTTCGTTTTAACTGTGAGTCTGTGACATGCGTGAATCCATGAAGGATTGAGTGATGTGATCAGGTGAATCTGTAGGCCTTATCGTAATGGCGGAAATGTGTCTTACGCCATGGCACGCCTTTTAGAACACTGGTGAATGGTATGCATGTCTAATTGTGTAGATACGCGGTTCACCAACACTAGTTCACAAGCAAGGGAGATGCGAGATTCTTATTAGGCGGAGAGTGCAAATTTCAGAATTTTGGGGTTCTAGTTGAACCAAGTCAGTGTCGGGATATCCGATAGGAGATTCATATACTACTCCCAAATACATAAACAGACTGGCCCAAAACAGCGAGACCCTTGTGATGAGTCACAACTCACACAGGGAAGTTCTGTGGTGTTCTATTGAATCCCCTTGATATGCTAAAGAACCCCTCTGATTCAGATAACCTCTTTGGTATGCTAAAGAATTTGTCTGGAATGTTACAAAAACTATTCTCCTCGCCAGGTTGAAGACTTGATTCAAAGCATCCTGAGACTCTTTTTAAGAGCTGGTAATTATAGAGGGTGATCTTTCGAGTTGGTGATCTTATTTTGTTTGTGTGTGAAAAAATAGGGGGTGTTTTTGTTAGAGGTATTAAACAGTAATCAATGATAATGAAAATAAAAGTTACTGTTTGGTTTTACATAATATAATGGGTTCGTTCCTTTAGAAGCCCAAATTTTCTTTGCTGGTTAAACTGGGGGGAATGAAAATTCATTCCCGTTTTCACTCCCTGTCATTTTCAATTCATTCCTGTTTTGATTCTCTGTCATTTTCATTTACATTCCTATTTTCATACCTCAGCATGAACCAAACAGCCCCTTAATAATATGTACAATACTATACAAGAAATATTTAATTCATTGTGGGTAAAAACCAAAAAGGAAAAAAGAAGTATATCAGAATCAGAAGCGGTCTTCTTTTTAGGACGACAGGAGTATTGTCTTCGACATTTGTTGCTATCCTGAAGAAATGTAAAGCCCTTATAGCCAAATCATTTTGGCATCCAAACAAGGAGATGAACACTAGATTCAATCATAAAGATAAAGAGCTTGGAACTTGAGGCGTGTTCATCCGTCACAAACATTATTATTTCATTATATATCCTAAAGCATAGAAGCTTGCAAATTAGTGGTATTTTTGTTACTTTTGTTGTATTTATTGTGGTTGATTCACTCTTATATACTAGGGATAGGCTTGAGCATGGCACAAGTTCTTAAAACAAAGACTTAAATTGACTAATGAGTCTATGTTGAACCATTCTACCATCTTCTTTTGCTATCAAGTAAATCTATGCCTAGTTAAGGACTCTACATATAAGTATAACTGAAACAGACTCCTCTAGGTTTTGTACATTTTTCCTTTCACCTAACTTTATGAATTTTGAGAAATTGGGTTTGTGGTCTTTCATTGTTAGACTTTCCCATACCTATTATTAGAACTTTCGCATTAATGGTGGGGCATGTTCTGATCGGTGTCATAAATGGGGTAGTGGATAAATTTGGCATGGTTATATACATATATATAGGGAGAGAGACAGGGTGTTTCAAATACAACCTGTGTCATTCGTACAACCGATAACCCAATATGAACCGTGCTTCTACTCTAATTATTTGAGAGTTCAAAATTTTTGAGATCTATGAGAACTCCTTTAAGGTTTTGTTTCACATGATTTTTTTTTCCATCTAAGTATAGTATTTAATGTATTGATTAACATATATTTGTTTCGCAATGCGTTTATTTCATATGTATTTGGTTAACAATGTGATTTTTTTCCCGTGTACTTTTTGACTTTTTGTTTCACAAACACACCAAAAAGAGAACCAAGTACATGTGAAACAAATATATGTTAATTACTACATTAAATTCTAGTCATAGAGGAAAAAAATCATATGAAATAGCACATGATGCATTGGTTCTCATATTTTATTTATGTTCAGTCTATCTATATCATCTGCTCTTTTTATTTTAATTGATTTACATGTAGCATGTTGCTCTCTCACGCTTTAGAGACTTCTCAAAAGGTATTTCTATATATTAATGAGTTGGTAAAAGTTATGATAATTGGGATTGTACAGGGTGACCAAGGAAAATAGAACTGCTGGTGTGTTGGATAACTTTATAGAAGGTGAAAAGTATGCAGAGCATGGATTAAGGAAGTTTGTTCGCAACAAGTCTCCAGAAATCATGCCCGGTGTCAATTCTTTCTTCGCAGACCCAAAATGAAGTAACACCTGTCATTTAAATTCAACCTCAATGGTTGTTGACAATTAATTTGTTGATTTGAGATTTAAAACTGAATTTATTGTGACGCAAATTTTTAAATAAGAACAATGCAATTTACTTGGGATTGTCTTATTCGGTGATCTTGCTTCTCTTTTTAACTAGTACAAGCCTCGCTTGGTGTGTCTATATTATGTATGCATACACACACAATTTTAGAGTTGGGTTCAAACGAGAACATCCAAATAAAATGTGATTTTATACAAAGCTTACGTCTGATTATGCATGACCTTGATCGTGGGCTAAGTTGTCCACATATCATTTCATTAATCATGTTGACCTTTATTTGATCATTTTCAGTGTTATTTGATTTTGACCATGTTTTCATCTTCGAAGGCTATACTATAATTTATATCTAAAATAAAGCATGAAATGTTAAAATCTTTAAAAAGATACATCTGTCTCCAGCAAATACTCAATTTTAGTAATTCTAACAATAATTATATTAATTAAATATTTCATAAATTAATAAAATACTATTTCCTTCACATATATTTATTTTCAATACTTCTTATCGATAGAAAATAATTAAAATTCTATTTATCTCTCGTATAAATAATTAATAAAATATTATTTCTCTCATAACTATTTATTTAAGTCTCCTCTGATTTATAGGATTAAGTTGGATTGGGAGAAATTTAAAATCGAATTTCATTCTTATTCTATGTTCGGTTTAAAGGAAGGATTTTATTGAAATCTCATAAATAAAAGATCTTGAAATCCCACATAGGCGGGATTTGTAGGAATTATATGTAAAATAATGTAACATGTAATTTAATAATCAATTAATAAAAATATAATTTAATTATTTTTATAATTATTTATAAGTTGTTTTATAAACTATTTATAGAAATTAGAATTCAGTTTTCGTTCTAAATCCTATAAACTAAACACATCAAAAAATTTAAATCCTTCCGTAAAATCCAGATTAATTAAAACCAAATACCCTTTATGAGATTTAACTGAATAAATAATCAAACTAAATAAAAACCATAAAGATTTTTTAATAATAAATGAAGATCGATCGATAAAAATAAGGAAAACCACCACACCACACTTTGTTTTTTCAAGCTGTATTTATAGTTTTTCTTTAACACATTTATATTATTTATGACAAATAGATGTTTTCTGTGGAAGGTTGTTATTAAAATTAGGGTAAATTGCATGTGTTGGTCTATGTGGTTACGTTGATTGTTTTTGCGATACATTCAATGATTGTGCTTTTTTACTAGTTACATTCTTGTAAATATATTTTCTTAATGAGTTAAATCATTTTTTTTTGTATGTTTGGTCTCTAAATAAATTAACAAATTGAAAACTCACTGACTATGTTAATAAAAAAGACAAAATTACACCACAAGGATGGTATCTGATTAGTTTGAGCTTGACTTCAAAGGTCAAAAGTTTCAGAAGGTCACAAGTTCAAATCCAATGAGGAATAAAAATCTTCTTGTGGCCACGGAGGTTCAAATGCGGTGACTTCGGGCTATCTGCAAGGCAGGTGGTCGTCCAGGGATTAGTCGACTCGCATAACGGGTTGGATATCCAGGTTAATAAAAAAAATAACATAATTATATGAAAAAATAACGTATTTTAGCTTGATTCCTATTTTGGATAACATAATTTCAAAACTTCCATTTTGGTGTCTAAAATGTAAAATTTTAAATATTTAAGTACCCGGGTAACCGGTTATCATGTTGTAGCGAGTGATGTGGTAGTCAGTATTATTTGCTGACATGGTTAGTGACATGGATTTTTTTATAATCTAAAATTAGTCTTCAACCGATTACCCGAGTGCTTAAATGTTTAAAACTTTATATCTTATGTACCAAATAGAAGTTCTAAAACTACATTACTTAAAAAAAGAATCAAGTTAAAATATATTACTTTTCCATGCAATTTGTTATAAAAAAAACAAATAACCATGAATATGTAAATTACTCTTAAAAGTACTTATTTTAATTGGAATTATGTTTTTATCTGGGGAGAGAGAGTAAGCATTGATTTGATGAAAAAAATTGGGGGTGTTAAATTTGTATCACAATAAACCAATCAATTGAATTACCAACCGTATTAACTTTATAAACTTGATTGGTATGTGGTATTAAAAATCGTCTACCATGATAATGTTGTACTGTACCAACATTTATACATATATTATTTATTAAATAAAAAACAATTAAGTAAATTATATTATATATAATTATCTTTCTAGAGGAATTTAGTCATTTATTAACTTACATTTAATGGTCTGTTTAGTGTTTGTTTTAACTTTAGTTATTACTTACTCGGTTACTGACTTGCTATAACTCATTCACTAGTTAGGGGTCAACGCCTCCACAAGTCATCATGGCAACCTTAAGTCTCTAACTCATTAATCAGTATCCCACGGCTACTTCTCTTCTCAACGTATACCTCCACTCCCGTTCATAGTGCATGCTTTCGGTCTTTCATTGTTCAACCACACACTCACACAGTCTATACCTCTACACAAGTACACCACCACGCAAATTTGCAACTTTGAGATGTTGATACAAAATAGTATCAATATGTACCAACCGAAATTTTTTGATATCAAATAAAATTGATCGGTACACGATATTAAGGAGGTGTTTGGGATTGCTTATTTGAAACAACTTATGATTTTCTACAAAAACATTTATCAACTTATTATAAGTTAAAAGAGTTTAATTTTTTCAAAAAAACTCTTTATTGTCGTTTAGCATCGGTATAAGTTGTTTATTCAAACATTCAAAAATACTTATTACCGATATGATATCAAAGTAAATCAATAAAATATTTTTATTAGCAATCTAAACAGCCCTGCAAAAAATAAAATAAAAATGGCACGGTTCACCCATAGAAAAGTCCGTTGGCTGGGCCCTCCGGTGATTGATGGCTAAACAAGAATCGACGGTCTTCTAGTTGTATTGACCCAAAGGCAAAGCCCCGACTGAGAGACCGTCTCCTTCGGCTACTCTGCCGATCTGATCCTCAACCACTATGGCGTTCTCTTCTTCTTCTCACGCCGGCAATTCCAACATCCGTCGTGGAGTCGCCGCCGGTTGGACCCGCTCTCTCCTCCCTTTCACATCCTCAAACACCAAATCCGCTAAACACATTCGTAAATCTCGCAAGCGCACTGCCCTCAAAGACTTCATATTCGCCAATTTCTTCATCATCGGACTCGCCGCATCCATCATCTTCTTCCTTTTTGTTGTCTATCGTTACGGAGTTCCAAGACCTATCTCCTCACAATTCCGTATCGGCAACTCGCGTGTCTTCAAGTCACGTAAGCCGGTTTATCGGAAAACCACGTCGTCTAGGTTTTTATCGTCAAATCACTCTAATTTATCTTTGGGAGCTGCTGCCGTGGATTTAACCACCAAGGATTTGTATGATAAGATCGAATTCAAGGACGTAGATGGTGGACCCTGGACGCAGGGGTGGAGGGTTTCGTATAAAGGGAACGAATGGGATACCGAGAAATTGAAAGTATTTGTCGTACCGCATTCACATAATGATCCTGGTTGGAAGCTTACTGTTGAGGAGTACTATGATCGACAGTCTAAGCATATTCTCGACACTGTTGTTGAAACTCTTTCGAAGGTGCCTAGTTTGATTCAACCTATGTAGGTTAATATGATATTTTGATTGCTTACTTGTTGTGGTTAGTCTAACATGTGTTCGATCTTCTAGTTATTGGTCTATTTATGTGTTGAGTTTGTGGTGGAAATCTTATTTGAATGGATGGATTTGTTGATATATGTAGGATGAACGGAGGAAGTTTATCTGGGAAGAGATGTCTTACCTAGAGAGATGGTGGAGGGATGCATCAGATGCTAAAAGAGAATCTTTCACCAACTTACTGCAGAATGGGCAGTTAGAAATTGTTGGTGGTGGCTGGGTTATGAATGATGAGGTAATTTCGGCCCAACGAGCTCAAGTACTGTTCACTATCACTTGCTTCTTGGTTCTTGTTTACATTTTTGCTTCGAGTTTTCCGGCTTTACTGATTAAGTAATCTGTAAGTTTTGCCACGATTGAATACTTAACTACTTGCATTCATTCTATTAAGCAATAAGCAATGGATCACGGATGTGTTCTGTGGACCTGAATCATCCATGGTGGGTGATAAGTTCTCACATGGTCCAGAAAGTAAAGCCTCATAGTATAGTTTATCAAGGGATAGACCATAGAGAACGAAACTTCAAGAAAAGCATACACGAGGGATAGACCCAAAAGCTTGGATTGATGCCAGAATATTAACCAAGATGTTTTCTTTTTCAGAAACTTTATTTTTTCAATTTGTAATTAGAGAGAAAGACAGAGGCAGAGACCAGGCAATATGAGAGAAAGACATCACTGTGAATGTGGCTGTGCGACCCTATATGCTTTCATTGTAATTGAATTATAATGTTAAGTTTACCATATAAATTAGATGTTGTTTGATGTTTGATTTATTGTTTATTTCAGTTGGTTTTAAGATTGTTGCCTTCATAATTTGTAGTATATCATGTAACTAATAGCTAGGCTTACAAGCTTCATATCACTCTGGCTAGAGTCTAGATATGATATGTACCGCATGGATGAACAAGTAAAATATGGTAGTGCTTCATTAATATTTTGAAGGGTATGAAGTAATTTATCCTTGAACCCTAAGGCCCAAGGCAATTTCAGCCATGTGATTCCATTGGAAGTTGGAGGGATGAGATGTAAGCAACTATGCTCATTAAGCTATGCAACATGTTTTCTTTGTGGATTACTTAATCCACCTTGATGTGAAACAGAAGTGGGCTGGGTTAATACAAGTGTTAGTTCCCTGAACTTTTGGCATATAGAATATTGAAGCTCCCTGAAAGAATAATTTGAACTTGTAGGAAATAAAAGAATATGCTGTAGCACTTGAAACTAGTGATGTAGAGTCATGAAGATACCAAGTGAGTTACAGATGCCAAAACTGAAGTTGGTTTTGATATTTCTAATTATAAGAAAGGAAGTGCTTGTCCAATAATCATTAAATTAACTTAAAATCATGATGGGAAGTTACTTGTAGCCCACAACCTAGGACTTATAAAGGAGCTTACAATTCTGATTCACTATCAATGTGGGACGGGATGTCGCAGTTTCTTCCACATAAGTTCCTGACATCATTGTTAGGTTTACCTAGAAACGTAAATATACTCACAGTCAATATCTCTAGCAGATGCAAGAGTCCAACTCACTACACCTTGAGAGGCCACTACTCTAATACCATTTTGTAACATTCTAATTCCCAGTATACAACACCTCTGGAAAACATTAAGCAACTGGTGTCACTTCAACTATTTGCACCCGATGTTTTTGGTGGCATATTTAATCTCTAGTTCTAATCTATGCGATACAGAACAATATCTGCTTTATGAATTGTGGCATGCATGTCTTGTATTATGTGCTGTAAAATTAGGATTCTTGTAAAGTAACTCGTACATATATATTGTTCCACTTTTATACGAAATTTTTGTACTAAGCAAGTGGTTTTGAGTTCCATTTTATCTCCACAATGTCTTGATTGTGTGTGTCGATCTCTACATCTCTGAGTTTTTTCTCTATCGCTTTTCCAGTATGGCCTGAAGATGATCTCAAGCCTACACTTCATTCAACTATTGTTTTGTTTGAATCTAAATCTTTTTCCGACATATATATCTTTACAGGAACTAATTGCACTTGAATCACGTTGTCCTTTTAGTCTTACTGAACTTCATTTTTTAATGTGTCTTGCAGGCCAATTCACATTACTTTGCGATCATTGAACAGGTATCTTTTAGCTTAACTATATGATGTTGAAATTCTTCTGCTGTTATGATTCTGTGAACATTCTTTTGTTATTGGTACTGATTTATCTCGATTAAATTGGTAACCGAGTAAAACATCCTTCTATCATAAGAACAGTGTCTTTGTCTTTCCGTCATTTAGTATTAGAACGCTTTTCATTATAGTTTACTATTATTCAAAAACTCCAGTCTAGCTTAGCAACTGGAAATCCCATAAATCCTTTGTCTGTTTCCGTAACTCATTTCCGTCTTATAAATACTGTATCCTTTTATGTGTTGTGATACTTTGCATTTAGTTTTTATCAGACAATATTTTTGTTTTTGTCCTGAAGTTCCTATCTCTATATATTTGTTTTATTTCAGATGATGGAGGGAAATATGTGGTTAAATGAAACTGTTGGCGTGATCCCAAAAAATTCTTGGGCAATAGATCCCTTTGGCTATTCATCTACTATGGCATATCTTCTTCGACGTATGGGTTTCGAGAACATGCTTATACAGAGGACTCATTACGAAATGAAGAAAGAACTTGCTTTGCATAAGAATTTGGAATACATATGGAGGCAGAGTTGGGATACTTATGAAACGACTGATATCTTTGTCCACATGATGCCATTTTATTCTTATGATGTTCCACATACTTGTGGGCCTGAGCCTGCCGTATGTTGCCAGTTTGATTTTGCAAGGATGCATGGATTTATGTACGAGCGTTGCCCCTGGGGAAAGCATCCAGAAGAGACGAACCAGGAAAATGTGAAGGAGAGAGCCCTTAAACTTCTGGATCAATACAAGAAGAAATCAACCCTCTATCGGACCAATACCCTTCTGATTCCCCTGGGAGATGATTTCCGTTACATCAGCATTGATGAAGCCGAAGCTCAATTTAGGAATTATCAAATGTTATTTGATTATATAAATTCAACTCCAGACTTAAATACCGAGGCAAAGTTTGGAACGTTAGAGGATTATTTTCGAACTCTAAGAGAGGAAGCCGAAAGAATAAATTATTCGCATCCTGGTGAAATAGGTTCTGGTCAGATTGGAGGGTTTCCTTCTTTATCAGGTGACTTCTTTACTTATGCCGATAGACAGCAAGATTACTGGAGTGGGTATTATGTATCTAGGCCTTTCTTCAAGGCCGTTGATCGAGTTCTTGAGCAAACTCTTCGGGCCACAGAAATGACAATGGTCTTCTTGCTAGGCTACTGCCAGAGAGCTCAGTGTGAAAAATTGCCTACTGGTTTCTCGCATAAGTTAACAGCCGCAAGAAGGAACTTGGCTCTGTTTCAGCATCATGACGGTGTGACCGGCACCGCTAAAGATCATGTGGTTCAGGATTACGGTATGCGTATGCATACTTCTCTACAAGACCTTCAGATCTTTATGTCTAAAGCCATTGAGGTACTCTTAGGGATCCATCATGACAAAAATAACCAGAACCCATCGCAGTTTGAGCCAGCACAGGTGAGGTCCAAATACGATGCACAGCCGGTGCACCAAGCGATTAGTGCTAATCAGGGAACAGTGCAATCAGTGGTCCTCTTTAATCCTCTTGAGCAAACAAGAAATGAGGTCATGATGTTCATTGTCGAGAGGCCTGATGTAACCATTTTAGATTCCAACTGGACATGCGTTAAAAGCCAAATATCCCCAGAGTTGCAGCACAGCAAAATGAAGATGTTCACTGGAAGGCATAGAGTATTCTGGAAAGCATCTGTCCCTGCCATGGGATTGCAGACTTATTATATTGCTAATGGTTTTGTGGGATGTGAAAAGGCCAAACCAGCAAAGTTGAAAATTTCCTCAAATGCTAACAGTTTGCCTTGTCTTGCTCCATATAGTTGCTCAAAGCTGGAAGGTGATTCCGTCCAGATTAGAAATCGGCATCAAGCTCTTACTTTCAATGCCAAATTTGGTTTATTACAGAAAGTAACCCAAATCAAAGGTGCTCAGAATGTTATTGATGAAGAGTTGGCTATGTACTCTAGTCCAGAGAGTGGGGCCTACCTTTTTAAGCCGAATGGTGATGCCAAAACGATCACCCAGGCTGGCGGTGAAATGGTGATTTCTGAGGGGTTTCTGATGCAGGAAGTTTTCTCACATCCAAAAACAGGTTGGAACAAGTCCCCGGTCTCTCACAGCACCCGCATCTATAACTACGAGGGTTCGGTGCAGGAACTTTTGATCGAGAAAGAATATCATGTGGAGCTTATTGGGGGTGAGTTCAATGACCGAGAATTGGTTGTTAGATATAAGACGGACATTGATAACAAGAGGATCTTTTATTCAGATTTGAATGGCTTTCAGATGAGTCGTAGAGAAACTTATGATAAGATTCCTCTGCAGGGAAATTACTACCCAATGCCCTCCCTTGCTTTCATGCAAGAATCTAAAGGACGTCGGTTTTCTGTACACACCAGGCAGTCACTGGCTGTGGCTAGCCCTAATAACGGATGGTTCGAGATCATGCTGGATCGACGGTTGACAAGAGACGATGGCCGTGGTCTCGGTCAAGGAGTGATGGATAACCATCCCATGAACATAGTTTTCCATATCATTTTTGAATCTAGCATATCCCCAGTTCCCGATCCTATTTCGCACCCGCATCCCCTAAGTCCATCTCTTTTCTCTCACCGTGTCGGGGCCCACTTGAACTATCCCTTGCACGCTTTCATCGCCAAGAAATCACAAGAAATATCTGTTCAACCTCCCCCACGATCTTTCTCACCTTTGACTGCTCCGTTTCCCTGCGATTTGCACATTGTAAGCTTGAAGGTTCCAAGGCCCTTGAAATACACACAGCAGAGTGTCGAAGAGCCGAGGGTAGTTCTGATATTGCAGAGAAGACACTGGGATTCATCTTACTGTTGGAAAGGGAAGTCGGATTGTTCAAGGATAGACGATGAACCATTGAATCTGTTGAATATATTTCAAGGTCTTGATGTTTTGAATGCAAAAGCAACTTCTTTAAATCTTTTGCATGATGATACAGAGATGCTTGGATATGGTGAACAGTCCACAGATGTTGGTCAAGGAAGGGTCCTTATTTCACCTATGGAATTGCAGGCTTACAAATTCGACTTACGGCCTCATCAGTGATCTCTTTAACGCTGGAGCTAATATGGCATTGAGTATTGCATCGATTTTGCCGGTGACTGAAAAATGAGGTGCTGTTTGATGGAAGTATACGAAGGGTAAGCATATTCTTTGGTGAGGATCTGGAAACGATTGGATCGAAGAGTTTGTCAGTTGGAAGGTTGGTAAGGTGGTGTGTTTTGATAGTTAAAATTGTGATGGTAGATAGGAGAAGAGATGAGGAGGTGTTAGGTTTTTGATTTTGTTGTTTTTATGTGAAACTATTGGTGTTGTTTTGTACACTTTTTAACATATCATACGATACGATAATAGAAGGATTGTTTAGATGATCATTCTGTGTTGTGGGTATCAGGGTATGTACGTTTTTGCTCTCTTTGGCCTTTTGATGTGAGACCATTATTATTATATATATACATAAGAGTTTTATATAATGTTAGTAAGATAAATACACAAATTGGATCCTTGATTCAAGTTTTTCATGATGTGCAGATGTTGTGGCATGAGTGGAGCTATTATGTTCATCGACGAAGACCTAAAAATCACTTACCGTCGGTAGTTGCAATCATCAAAGGAGACTACAATGCCGTTGTATATTTTTCAATTTATATATTTATAAAAAGTTACCGGTTATACATTTTATGGTTATGTTTATTTTCATTTTTATACTTGTTCTCGTAAAAAAAATATGACAATTTGAAAAATAACATTAACAAAAATAGTTTGATAGAAGCATGTTCTAGTGCAAACCTAATGTGTGTTGTGAATTGGAGAATATGCTATATGTCCTTTTTTTATGGGATATTCATCATAAATGGTGTATCATTCATTAAGAATTGTGTAAATATTCATACGAATATATTAAGAAATTCACGTCCATTATTTAAGATGAATACCAGTAAATGAAAGAGGCACGTGTCACTCTCTCATTTATTTCCCGGTTTTGCAGCTTATAAATCTCATATAATTTCATACAAGTATAAAAATATAAATGTGGTATTAATGAATTAATAACATCACTGGTTAATGGTTATTGGTTATTGCCATATTGGGTTGTTGGGCCCATGATTAAATATCTAAAATTGCAGTGGGCTTTGATATTGATATCAAAGGCTCGATATACTTGTACCGTTGTAGTGTTGTACGCATCTCTATAGTCTCCTGCTCTCCTTCTGTGACTTGCCTGAAAAGTTTTCTGAGGGTATTTACAGAGCCATCGTTCTCTTTCTATACGAAGAAGAAGGAACTCAAGAAACAAGCCATCACCATGGAAGCATCGAAGACAATTGAACATGAGATCGGAGGTCTAAAGAACGATGCACTGCGTTTTGGCCTTCAAGGCGTCAAGAGTGACATTGTCGGATCTCATCCTCTCGAATCCGCCTTTCAAACGGTATGTGCCTTTTATCTATCTAGATTGCAGGTAAATGCTTTTGGGAGAATATTTCTCATAGTCATTAAATTGTATTTGTTCAGGCAGTCGTGAGAGAAGCGGAGATGAAAAGGAAAATCCTTGCAAACACTTATGGCTCCGCTTTTCCGTTAAAGCAGGAGTTTGATCGGAAAATCCTTTCTAGGTATTCATTTGTTTATTATTTTACGACGTGTTTTGTTATAATGATTCATGCCAATTCATGCTTTTGATAAACTGATGCGCTTTCGTTATTTGAAAGTTGAAGCAAACTAGGGTTTTGCTTATCTGTGGATTTTTTTTTGATCCGTTAGTTGACACTTAATCAATTAAGATCAATCAAAGACGCCTTAGTTAGGTGCTTTCAGCTTGTTTTACTTATCTATATGGACGAGGACAATAAGCTCTAGCGGACCCCTTTTCCCATAGGGATATGTCTCAACTATGGGTTTAAAGGATTTTTCCTCTAGCTGACTCTCGTACTGGGCTTGGAAAATAACTTCAGATGACTAATACAACAAAAAGGTTGGTTCAACCTTGTCTATCGACTATGGCATGTTCATTTCGATATCATGTACACCTTTACAAATGTAGTGATGGATGTTGATCGCCCAAAGTAGCCATTGTTGCGGCTAGGTGCCTAGGTTTTTCCTGGCAATAGATTAACCCTGTCTTTTCTTCCATCTGTGAAATAATGTCCATGCTATGGAATTCAAGAAAAGCCGATTAACCTGTCCATTCTGTTGAACATATAGACCAACAAGGTTTGTTATGCTCACAAGAGATTGAGGAAACTCACCAGTCACCACTGAGCCCAATAGAACCGAAATCTAAATAAGCTAGCCCTTTTAAGTTCCCAAAACTTGTTGGTACTGCACTTAGTCCAGTTTTTTATTCGATGACTTATTTTCCGTGTCTCATGCAAAATAATCCAGAACTCCATGATTGACTTAGGGGTGATTTTCCATCAACTTGTTGCTTATTTTTAATTTTGTACCTGCCTGGAAGAAACTCTTAAAAAAGTTTCTCTGAAAGCGTATTTTTTAAAGTAAAGGAGGAAATTGTGTATCACCTGCGAGTTACAAGTTAATGAGGATTCATTTTAAAGATATAGATCTTGAACTTAGCCATTCAAAAGAATGAATCATGAATTTGGTCTTTCACTTGGATCTAATGTGCACTCGTATAGTTAGATCACACTTGTTAGTAGCTGTGTGTTATCTAATTCTTTTTAAAATTTGTTGAATAATTTAATTATCCAACACTAGCGGTGATGGCTTGTCATGTCAACATTAGATATTTGAAGGCACAAATTCTAATTTTGGAGAGGATAGATGTTGCTAGAAGGTTGTTAAGAGAGGTATAGGTCCCCCATGACACAGGGGAAGATGTGAAGAAATATTTAAGGGAGCGGAATGTAGCAACAGGTAGAAGTGAGTGGAAGATAGCAAACACATATAAGCATGGGAAACGACGTCATTCACTCCTGGAACTGTAGATCTTCATTGAGTTTCATCTTTTAGCCTATCGCAACTACTTTGAGATAAAAGGTCTGTTGACTTTTCACGTTGATGCTGACTTGGACTAATGAAATGTGGCTTTCATATTATCGTAGCTTCTCTCATTATGTGGCTGCTGCTGCATATGACAGTGTTATTTTATGGGACATCTTCTAATCTAGAAGCGTAAACAAACCCAATATATCTTTCTCGAAAGCAGGGTCGGGTAGGATGTACGCAGACCTGCCCTCTATTCATAAGGATAGATCATTTGTTTCCGTGAACACCCTAGCTCAAAAGTGTGAACGAAAAGGGAAAGAAAAGAAAAAGAACCGAAATGAGTAAAGAGGAAGCAACATAAAAGAAAATAGAAAAGGCACAATGAAACAAATAAAAACAAAGGAAACACACACCCTTCCATATAATCAGCTCTTTAACCCTCCTCCTACCCCATTTTCAGCCTCTCTAACCCCTTCTCCCTATCCCTGCTAGCTAAATGGTCCCTACACCTAAGTCTGCTACTCTACTCCTGCGTCTTATGAATACCCCCTTGAAAATAGATTGAGAAGCTATGCATGGTTTGGTAAATGTACAGAAGTTGGTGCTAATATTTGTGTCCCTTATACCTGTCAGGGGGGACTTCAATATGGAAGGAGTAGTGACCCTTCTACTTGTTCTGTCTTACTTTATCATTTAGTGTTAGATATTTGAAGTATAGTTACTTGTTTCACCTCCGGCGTGTAGCTCAGTTGGCAAAGGGGTGGGGTGACTTTGCCCAAATACAAGACTGGTTCCGGATTCAGTCCCCCCCCTCGCAGTGTGCGCTAGCTAGCCTTAATCTCACATGGGTGTGGGGCCGGTTGGGGTTGTCGGTAATCAACTTTTTGCCCAAAATTCTCTCATTTCAGGAAACCTGACATCTAATATCAGGTATTTTAGGTTTTGATAAGGAAAAAATTATACTTGATGTGGATGGTTGGAGATTTTTAGTTTTCAGCGACAGACTCCAATAAATGGATGTGAAATAAGTTTTTGATTTATTTCGTTGTTAAGGCAGTTGTTTCTTCTTATTTCAAAGATTCAATGTACTAAACAAAATCAATATCAAGTGCTCTTATTAAATACAGCTTTTGCAACTGTGTATATAGTTGCACATATTGTTTTTGATGACTCATTTGTTTTCCCTGTGGGAGTTCTTTGTTGTAGCTAATGTTTTGAGCTTCCAGATTTCAAAGGCCTCCCGGACTTATACCATCCTCCATGCTTGGATTAGAGTCAATTACAGGAGCGTTGGAAGATTTTGGTGTTGAAGATTACCTCCAAGGTAAGAAGATAATACCAAGTGGAATTATTTACTTATTTTTTTTGCCCACATTAGTGATGCTAGAACTTTATTTCTTTCTGAAACAGCAGCAGATGGTAGAATATTCAATTTTCTCATTGTTCTGTACTTTATATGGATCTATCTGCTTCCATCATCAGTTACTGCAATTTGATTGAGTTTGAGTCCCCATTTCTTTCTTGGCAGTAATATAATATATTTTTCATTTTCAGTCGAGACATTTAACAAGTAGTTGATTGTAACTATTGTTCAATCTTTGTAACAATAATCCTCCATTCATGTTTTGGCATGGACTTTTTTCATGCCTACCTAAATGGGGTTTCACTTTCTTTTTCCTTTTCTTTTTATCCTTTTCTTTCAGAAATTTTACTAGTTTCTAGCTGAGTCCAGTTAAGGTTCTAAATTTAATTCCCAAAATGGTACTTGAGCCTCTACTTCAGCAATATATTTCATAATCTACTTATGAGTGAAAATGTATGTATATGGGGCTTTGGTCGGTCTTAATTTTGGTGTTGATGATTGTTTAATTGTAGGTGCCCATGACACTGAAACAATGCGCATTCCAGACATGCATCATGGAATGGAAGTTCGTGTTGGACTCTCAAAGGGACCAGTTCATCCCAGTTTCATGTGAAGCAAGTGTTTCATTGCATCTATGCTTTTCAGTCTTGCAGACATTTGTGGTTTGGCTTTAAATATGAACCTGAACATCTGCCTCTACATTGCATATTTTATTGTGATCTATCGTTTTTAGATGTATGTAAAACCTGTTATTTCGTATTATTGCTACTATTTTGTTTACAAATCAGTTTAGACCTCCAAGATAGGATCCAGATGGCACGGGACTATATAACACAGCTGGTAGCGTGTGTGTAGTTGAACATGAGGCCATGATTATATGATGTAGCAATGATCGAAGTGACCATCTATAATCATGATAAGAAAAATATCTCATGTATCAAAGCCATTGTACTCTGTGAAAGATGTGACTAAAGGGAGAGTAGGAAAGAGAGAGCAAATGATGGTGATTTAAGCAGCAGAAGTGACTTTGAGAGAGAAGGCAAGTATTTTCGACTAGTAGCTATGCATTTATAAAGTTCTGTATTCTTGTGATGTATATGAATGAGACATATACAATCCTATTGCAGGAAGCTGATGACATGATAAAAGTAGTCTCAGCTTAACACAGGAGGAACAAGTCTACCATCATTGCAAGGTATGCTACTGTCACTGACAATGTGCTTGTTAACATAGTGGTGGGGCAGGGCGGTGCAGGTGATTAAGACTCGATTAAACCAAACAAAACCAGATGAAATGAACCTAGTGAATCCACATGCAGTCGGATATAGGGAGGTAGGATGTATGCAATGATTGATTAGCCTTGGTGCACCTATCCTCGTATCCTAGTCCATTTCAATGAATCACGCTAATTGATTTCAACACCATCCAATGCCGGTGTGAATGGGATGCTGATGGGTAGGGCATGAGGTAAATGGTAATATAGAATTCTATGATTGAAGAGTCTTTTATAACCCAATGCTTACCTGATTGATTTTATGCTTTTTATATTTAACCTAAAATCTCGAATTTGTCTTTAGAGATATTTATACTGAAGATTAACAAAAACACTTAAATTTGAATACTGAAATAGACTTCCTTAAATATCAGATCATAGAAGTTAATAATCCGTAGGAGTTCCCCTCAGGTGTGTAGCTCAGTTGACAGAAAGGCGGAACGACTTTGGTCATATACGCGTCCGTTAGCCTTTGCCACTATTGAAAAATGCATCCTCACATGTGGTTCTTAAAGAATACATGATGATTAAAAATTGAATTAGTGTATTCAAGAAATAAGAACATAAACTATTAAAACACAGTTGTCATATTTTAATTGTGTTACTTGTAACAAATTTTAATTGTAATATGATGCATCAACTATTATAATCATATTCAACTTGTTATGTTTTCTTTTCATTTCATAAAATGAAACTGAATAAAATTCGTGATTTTGTTTCATTTATATGGTGAGAATCTTAAAACATTGTTCAAAATCCAGGATTGTGAGTATCTTCAACAATTATGTTATTTTTTTTTCTTTTTTAAATTTAGAGATTTTTTTTGTTTTTTTTAAAAAAGACTTCAGCATAATTGTTGAAGCATATCTTTTTTTTTTCTTTTTCGATTAACTTGGATATCCAACCCCGCTATACAAGCCGACTAATCCTAGGACGACCACCTGCTTTGCGGGTAGATCAGAGTCACCATATTTGAATCTCTGTGGCCATAACACAAGAGTAGATAGTTTATCAATTTATTATAACTTTTTCAAATATTTGTCATTTATTTTTTTTATTAACTTGAATATCCAATCTACTATGCGAGCGACTCCCAGGGCGGCCACATGCTTTGCAGATAGCCCGGAGTCATTGCATTGAATCTCCGTGACCACAAGGAGATCTTTATTCCTCTTTGGATTTGAACATGAGACCTCTGCCCAGAGTCATCGCATTGAATCTCCATGGCCACAAGGAGATTTTTATTTCTCTTTGGATTTGAACCTGAGAAGTTCAAACCAATCAGGCACCACCCTTGTGGTTGTCATTAATTATTTTGTATCTAGTGAATTCTTAATTTATTATAATTAATTGTTTTTCTTTTTAGTTTTTTGTGATACATATGTTACGGTTTATATAATATCTTGTTCAAATTACGACATGGTTTGCATATTTGTGATTTTGTACAAATAATTATGCCTTGTTATTGTCAAATTTATTAGTTTAGATAATGCTTTTTACTAAAAGGTTTTGAGGTCGATTGTTTTTTACATGTGTGCTCGTCCTAAAATAAGTATGGGTTTTAAAACATGAAAATTAACATATGAAATTTGATCTAATCTGTGTTTATTTATGCGGAGGTTGTTAATCCTAGTGGTAAGAATAAAAGTTATGATGAGAACGGTAAAAAATGATCTTCACCCTTGAATCAATTCTAATGGAAGAGAACCACTAGATTAACATTAATGAGATACGTTAGACCAATTCCCTTCTAAAGTGTAATTCATGGGTGGTTATAGGATTAAAAGTGATTGAGGGTCTAAATCGTTTTTTATGCTTCTTACCTTAACTTCTATTCTGACATGATCATTTGTCGTTTATCCAAATATGAAAGTTAGAACTTTTGAATTTTTTGGTTATATTAAGGAGGTGTTCGGGATTGCTTAAGCGGCAAAATGTTTCGGGGAGTTGAAAATAAGCATAGGTCCAGACCCATCAACAGTCAAATAATTAGAGAATCCCGGAGAGAGATTTATATTATATAATCAGTTTCTACCAACTGAGTATTTTGACTATTCTTGTTGTCTCAAAACGATCTGCGGCTGCCAATATATCTCGCAGTAACAAAAATGTATTATTTAAAATAACTTGTGTTTTTTTTGTAATAGTGTTTGTCAACTTATGTGGTATCAAATCAGAGTTTTATAAAAAGCGTTTGGATTATTTAATGGCGGTATCAAAACGTAATAAACTGATAAATTGTTTTTAATATTTGGCAAATTTACTTATACATATAAAATGATAAAAAAGGATATTCATAACAAAAAAAAACATAAAATGTGGAGAAGAGGCTCAACAAAAACCTTCGACTGAGAGTTATCGGTCTTCTTGGAATTGAAGTTTTTCACCATCGATTTTCTTGGAATTAGGGTTTTTCTGCAAGTCATGGAAAGCTTGTTTGAGAGCTTGAAGGAAACATAAAACAGTTTTGCTTCAACTTCAGCTTTAGGGTTGAAACAAAAAGCATAACCTTCATCTTACCATGGTAGATTGCAGGGAAAGAAGGTTAAGAATCCCTTAATCTGATAAAAAAGTGTAAAAAGGTAATTTAGTTTTCAAAGCTGATAAATTGTTTTTAATAAGTTAGAAGAAAGTAACTTATCAAAAACTTTTTATTACCGGTTTGACATCGATATAAATATTATTATTTTTCTCATCCAAACAACAAAATATGTTTATTACTAATACATCACCGGAATAAGTCAATGAACACTTTAAATAAGCAATCTTCAACACCTCCTACTTACATATAATATTATTATAAAACAAACTAACAAAATTATTTAATTAATAATTAAATATTTTATAAATTACTTTATTAATAATTTTTCAAAAAATATATATTAATTAATAATTAAATAATTTTTTAACAACTTTTGAAAATTATATATTAATTGATGATTAAATATTTTTTATTAATAATTCTTAAAATATATATTAAGTAATAATTAAATGTTATAATAATAAATTTTCCAAAAAATATATTAGTTTATAACAAGAAATAGTTAGGGGAATAATACTTCAAATAAGCTAACTTATTAAAACACCTTCAATTAATACTTCAATAAGCTAGCTTAGGGTAATCAAGCAGAATTTTTCAATATATTTAAAAAACTAAATTAGTTCGTGGCTATCAAAGATAGGTTTGTATATACAAACTGTACTGATATCCTCCTACTTATTTGTAGCTCTTTGATCAATAATTATTTTAGATAATCCAATATGAACCCATCTTTGAATAGTCATCTAAGAGGTTGTTTACCAAACGCTTACTCGAATAAGTAAACACCAAGTCACATTACTTTATCGGATGAATATAGTAAGAACCAAGAATCTTACTCGATAAGAGCAACAAGAGGACCAAAAGTTTTACCCGATAAGTGAGAGCAACGGCTCTTACTACAGCAAACGCTTACCGAGTAAATTATTGCATACAATACTGTTTTAGCAGATTAAAATCTTATCCGACAAGTAAATGATAGTGCTAAATTTTAACTGTAACCGCTTACCGAGTAAGTATTTGGTAAATGACCACTAGGAGTGTTTCTGTTTTCTGCCAACAGTACCAAACGATATATTCAATGGACTAATTTCACTCCATACCAGCATACTGTTTCAACTTTCTAGCACAACACACAGAACATGTTTTCATTACTTTTATTTCTTTCTAGCTTAATTTCATTCAACCAATCACAGGGTTAAAAAGCAACACAAAACATATAATACAAAACCCATATGGCTTGTAACAATGGTCTATGCATGCCCAAGGTGACAAAATACCAGCATCCCCAAAAACAGGTATTAACCACCATTGTTAGACCTTTGATGGGATGATAGGAACTACACTACATGCAGCAACTGATTCCAATATCCAAGTATGTCCAACAATCTGGGACTTACATTCTCGAGCTACATCCTCTGCCGCAGCTAATCTTTGGAACTTAATGCTATCTTCGTCTTCAAATTCAGAGCAATCTGAAAGATCAGCATTGTAAACAACCAACGCCGATCGCTTTACAGTAGCATCTGTGTCATTACTTGACGATAGTAATTGATCTTTGGTCTTGATGATCGTGCCTCCAGCAGTTGTAATCAGGCTTAAGAGATCGGTCTTGAAAGCTTGTACAAAATCCCCAATGAAGTAAAAATGGAAGTCGTTGAAAAGTTTTGGACCCTGCAAAGAGACATCTATTCAGCTACTTGCACCAAAATCACATCAGGAGCTCTAATTCAACACTAGAATGTTACAATAGAATTGCATGTTCTGAATCTGAGGGATGCAACCGCATACTAAATGGTAACTATGATTCAAAGATTCTAAAGTTTTGAGGATACTAGTATGAGTTTATATGTATCTGTATTTATACACTCTATAACCAAACAAACAATATAGTTCTTAGAGTTTGGTTGGTTGGTTTTTAAGTCATGCATGGATAAAGCTGTCTATGTGGATTAATCAGTTTGTAGCGATTGGGAAGGTTTTTGCTTGGAGCTTTTTCATAGATGGAAAGAGTGTTTTTTGGGAGGGGCAGGTTTGGAAAAAAGTTGGCTTGCTGCACAAAGCTCCCCCTTAGTAGCTCACTGCCACTTTCTATATCAATACACCACTACCAAATAGTCATGTATAGCTCATTAAACTGCTAACAAACATGGCCTTACTGATGTCTGTCTTACTGTAGATTTTTGGTGTGATTTTAAATTTATTGATTGCGTATTTTCATGTCTCCCTTTGCTTAATTACATATAACCAAATTGCTCCCTTCATGCCACCAAATACAAATCCTGTTGCATTCATGGTCCTTAAGAACTACACTTCTAAAGCACAAAATATAGAGATACAGCATGGAATAGCCAACACCCCTGCTTCCTAGGTTCTAACCTTACAATTTTGTTGATAAAAAATTTGATGAGTGATGGTTAGTTAAAGATCCACTGAATAATCTATGCATGCATATAAACATAAGGGCACACTTTCAACTTCTCCTAAGCCCATACTAAAAAAGTCAATATGAATGCAACTTCAAAAGTAAACAAAAGTGCGGCTTTGGAGAGCATCATTAATATAAAAGAGAAAATATTGATCTTACATTATTTAGGATTCTTAGCCTGCCAGCTTTGGGGCCACCAGAACAGCCATGGGTATCTAGATGCACTTCATATGGTTCTTCTTTCACAAGACACCCAGCTTCCACACAAGCTTTTACCCCTGAAAACAGAAGACAACATCACATTTTGTTCAATAAGACCCCAAGATCAACACCAACCACTGAGGATAGAGAGGCTAAGATCAGAAACCTTACATTCCACAGTAACAATCCATTTCCCATTCAAAATGGCCATGAGAACTTTCAATGTCCTAGTGCATGCACCATTTGAGTCTACAGCAGCAATGACATGGGTGACATTAGGTTTCCAGTATTTGGACACTATTGTCCCACTACTTCTTGCAAACTCAATCAGAGAACACTGCATTTTCAAAGTTGTGGATTAGGAAGGATCCATGAAGACCCATAATATCCTTAACAGAAGCAATAGTAGGAAAACACAGAAAGAAAATAAAAAAACTAAAAAGCAGGGAAAACAAGAATATTAAAACAAAAAAGATGGCTGGTGAGATCAATAAGATGAAAAACCCAGTTTTCCAGAGGTAGAGCTGATAAAGTTAGACTATTTTACAGTCAAATAAACTAACAAAACTAACAGACCTTTGCCAATAAATAACAACCTATACCAACCTTTTCTTCTGAAGAAAGAGCTGAACCACATAACACCAAATTCTTTCCACCCTTCAACAGTGAATTGCAAGGATTCAGATGCGTAGTTATTCTGTAATCAAAATGACAGACATCACAAAAGTAAAGGAGAAGTTATTAGGTAGGTAGCTTTCTTTGGAGTTAATTATTTAAAAATAAAATTCATATTATCCAATGATAATCAGGTATTCAAGCCAAGTAATCAAAGATTGAAAAGTGTCACATACTTTCTCTACTGGAGCAGTACATATCCATGGCAAGTAGTTACAATAGTAAAGCATTCCTATTTATATATTTAAAGAGTGGACAAAAACACAGTGCATACGCTTAAAAGACACAGCAGATGAAGCGGTGCAGAGATTCATCAATGCTGGTTTGTGTGGCTAAAGTTAATTAATAATTATCAGATCAACCACAGCAGATCAAAAAAACCATAGTTCATAGTACACAGAAACAATCATCTAAATGATATATAAAAGTTACATTTGACTACTGATACCTTTCTACAGTGTCATGCTTCCCAGCCTTTGACTTCTGTTCCTCTGGAAAATTGTGAGATGCATGCTTTGGACACAGCAACAAATAGTTATCCTAGAGATGACATATAATTAGGAAATCTCTGATAAAATCATAACAGCAGAATCCCCAACTGTGCATAATTAGTTGCTTACACAATCCCATCGGCAGTCCAAATCATCATATGCACAAGGTACATGGTAAGTTCTTGGGCATGACTTCATATAGCAGCCAAGACCAGCTCCCTTTTTACCACAGCTACTACATTTTAGCTTGTTAGCCCTTGCCACTTCTTTTTCTAAGTTCTGGATGATTCCATCCTTAAAGAAAATCTGAGGAGCCCTGTCAATGTAAATGTTGCTTGTAATGTTCCCAACAAAAAAATTCCTTTCAAGATTGTGGAGAGCATATCATCAATTAATGTTTTATTTCTTGCTCAAACAACATGCATGTCTCAAATGAAATTTTAACCCTTAAATGTTAATTTACAATGTGCAAGCTGGTACAGTGTTGTAGCATTCACATTGGGACTCATATTAGTGTATTACTCAAAAAGTCAATAGCATATGCATACCATGTATAACATTTTTCATGAACGTGTGTAGCCTTGGGGGAGTCGGCCGCATTCCCCTCTGCTTTCTTCCCTTTGAAAAAGGAGACCAATGGTCCACTTCCCTACACAATGTATAAAAACAACCAAAAGTAAGCTTCCCCTATCAAGATTTTTGGGTCATCTTTTTTCCCAGAAGTTTTTAGGTAGCCTACACATGTATTTTCCAACAATAACAGCATCCAAGTATTACAAGAAAACTTGGGTTTCAGAACTCACCTCTGTCTGCTTAGAAGAATGGCAAAAGGCACAAGGACTTTTTTTCAAATCAACAGATGACTTCCCAGTAGCTGCATTTTCAGAAGCCAAAACATTGGTCTGAGGACCATTTGTGTCCAACCTTGTATCATTCAATCGGTCAGTTGTTTTCTTTTGTCTTTTGACTTCAATTGTACACTTAGCTCCAGAGGTGCATCTATTGTTTGACACCAGATTTGTCCCATAAGCATCATTCTCAACTAGTCTCTTTAGTGAATATCTTCCTGCATTCTGAAAAGGAAGACCAGCCAATGCATGTTACAGTATTATGAGAAGTCAAAAATACATGATCCAATATATGATTCACAAAAACAATGAAATATTCCAAGCAAAATTAATTAGATACAAAAGTGCACATACATAGGTGTACTCAAAATAAAATGCATGACTTACTGGAAAAGGAATGAATGATGAAGCTAGATAAAATTGGTGTATACACAAGTAGAGGGTACACATTACATTTTGCTTCAAATTTTAACGAGTATGCATGAAACCTAGAACATTACCACATGAGATAACATAAGAAACATCTACCATAAGTACACATGTCATGAAGTACATATGTTTGCACACATAAAAGGATCCAAGAATGGGGGATATAGATGTAGGCAAACGTTAGTCTTAGTCTAAAAACAACACAATTTACTGAAATGGAGGTATATATCTTTAACAATTGCAGCTATGTAGAATATGTTCTTACCATATTAGTGCTGCTTGGATCACTGCAATTCCCATCCATATTTTTGCTATCACTGGATAATGGAGGGCTCAATTGCTCCAACCGAATGAAGCCAACTCCAGAGACGCCAATCTCCATGTGCCTTTCAGCCACCACCTGACCCGTGGTATTGGAAAGATTGGGTTTATCACCACTGCACATCTTAAATCCTTGTTTCTGATTACTTTCTGGAGTAATACATTTTTCAAAATTCCTAGCAACCAACTCTTCAGCAGAACCATTTAACAAAGTAGGCATAGCAGTTTGTAAAATCATAGATTGCCTATTGCTAGAATTTCCATCTTGTGCTATATCAACTTTCTCCTTTCTTGGATTATTGTTAGCATCCATCTTAAATGAAGCAGGATGGCCATCATCTGCACTAATGGAAAAACTCAAGTAAATCAATGTCTTTAGATATTGAATAAAGAAAAATAAATTTACTGTAAATAAATAGTAAGGCATTTACGTACCAGAACACACAGGATGAAGAAGATTTGCATTAAATGTAGCATCAAGACTCCTATAGATGGCTACAATATTCTCCATGAACAGTGCAGGCTTTACCTCTGTGTAACACAATAAAAGGACAAACCAATCAGGCCACAAATGCATCTTGGGTTCTAGAAAGTTCTTGTTTCATCAACTATTAGTACACACAGAAATCATGCATTTCAGGTACCATCAGCATTATCTAAAATATTTTTGTGTGACCATCCTTCTAAGCAATTTATGCCCATGCCAAATTGTACCGAAAAGATGCATACAGCATCTCCAACCATACAATAAAAATACCATTTTGCCAGTTTGGAAATTCCAACCAGCATGCAAAAATAACATTTTGCCATAGATGGTGATAAAAAGCATACATGTTGTGTTCCTATTCAAACAGCATATCGTGTAGTTGAAAATGGATCAACTTTTGGTGGTGTTGTGATTGGAGATGGTCTAATAAGTCAACACTTGTGCATAATGTTTTTGTGTTTTGCTTTTACATACTAGATTAATAATCCCATTTAGCATGTACTCTTCAAATACATCAGTATACAAATCACGTCTATCTATTAGAAGCAGTATCGATGATCCATACAATATAATCTCTGCGTTCAAAAAATAAAGGGGGTGTTTGGGATTGTTTATTTGAAACAACTTTTATTCTTTTTTTATAAAAGCACTTGTCAACTTATTACAAGTCAGAAGGGTAACTCCTTATTACCGGGTTGACACCAACATAATTTGTTTATCCAAACACTCAAAAATGCTTATTAATGGTATCACATTGGAATAAGTCAATAAATTTTTTTTATAAGCAATCCCAAACACCCCAAAAATAAAATTTCATAGTCCATAGAAGTTAAAGAAAATACAGTGTCGGGATTCAATGAACAACGTCCATGAAAAGAACACACTAACAAACACAAAAAAAAAAACTAATTTTATAGATTTTCTCTCCATACCTCGACCAAAATATTGATGCTTACAAACTGGACACTCCGACCCAATCTGAACTGCTTTCGGCATGCATGAACTGTTTGCAAAACGACAGTAAACCACAAACACAAATCGTCGTATCATTTAATTGTGAAAAAAAAAACAAATGTTGAAATAAGAAAATGCGAACTAACCTGCAGAAAATGTGAGTACAAGGGAGCAACACCGGTCGGTTAAACAACTGAAGGCTGCAAAGAAAACAGAAATTGCAGCACCAAGAATCAGAATTCATCAACCCTAAAAGACGCATCAGTTTAACCAAAATAAATGAAAATGAAACAAACCAGAGGGGACATTTGAGCTCAAGACCGAGTTTTTGAAGATGAAGCACCCCTGGATTGAGCAACCTCTGCGCTTCTTCCATTTCCCAGTAGAACTTTCACTGTAAACTGGTGGAGATGTGAAGGGTGGTGTGATTGTGATACGAGAAGAAGGTAAATTAGGGCAGGTAAGACCTAGGGTATTATATGTAAATGGAGGAGTATGGAGGTGTGGTGTGGGATCCACTGTTAATTTGAGGGGGGAAATAGCGGGATCGCTGCCGCCCATGGCTTGAAACGTGGCGCGTTGATTTGAAGGCATTTTTCGCAATAAGTTGATTACCATATTTACGCTTTGCCAGCCAAAACTCCCGCCACTATGCACGTTTTTTTTAATAGAAATTTTCAATTACTTGGAGTAAATGTAATAAAATGATGTCAATATGTATCATACATTAATTTAGAATATTTTTTTTACTAAATTTTTTTAATGTGTTATTAGTATATCTTATGAAGGTAGGGTCGTTCTTGACGATAGACCGTAGGAGCGATTGCCATAGGAAACAGAAGCCCAAATCGGTCCATTTTTTTTTGTTGGAGTAGTCTCGGTTGACGAGGTAACAAGTTATGGTTTTGTTATGAATTAAAATTTAATGCAGGGACATTTAAAGTATTTTATCTCCATTTTTCTCTTTTCACCCCCTGTCCTTCGGGAATACCATTGTGATACCCAAAAATATTGACTCTGTTAAATAAAAAACACAGTGTGATACCCAAGCACATATAAGATGCATTGTGATACCACTGTGTTACATCTCCGATCGACCACACAAAACGACCTCAGTGTGATACCCAATCATATATAAGATGCATTATGATACCAATGTGGTATCACTAGAGGCCGAAGGACGGGGGGACGGAGAGAGAGGAGATGAGGGTTTTAAAATACCTAAAATGTTCTTGCATTAAAATTTTAATTCAAAATTATCAAAATTATAAATTTCCTAATTTATCTATTGATTTGTGGTTGAGATTAGATCTTACAGTTACCACAAACTAATTAATTTTCATTTGATTATGCCCCTATATATATACACACACACACACATATATATATATATACTAGAAGCGTACTCGCGCAATGCAGCGAGATACATCGTGTTTTTAATATTTCATTTTATTATTTATCTCAGTCGATGTTATAATATG